GGGGGGGTGTACTGCTGTTCGCTCACATTGGCGGCCTACACTAGCGAAGGCCTTTTATTGGCAGCTGGAAAAATGCACTTGATGAGAGCCGCTATTGACTAATCAGACCGGATCGCTCACATGGGGCATCGCAACATCGCGGTCGCTTGACAAGCGAGACAAACACGTGACACGGAACGCAATCGTCCAAAAGGAGCAAAGACAATTGCTGAGACGTACTTGGTTTCCATTCACCGAAGTCAAATTGGCTTGCGCTCACTCTCTCTCTCTCTATTGACACACACACACACACACGTACGTGAAATGAGAACATTGACACAAAACGGAGGACAAAATTGGGTCGCTAATTAAGCAGAATCTAGAAGTAGCGTGCTTATTCAAACGAGGGAAGAAAATACAGAAACGTACGTCGGTGGTCTACATCAGCGGAAAAGAAGGAGTGCTTTTAAAAGACCATCGTTCGAACAGAAAGGTGTGTTATATATACACGTAGCGTCAAATGACATTTTAGGAAAACAATCAGATCTAACTCATAAGAATCAGCAATATATAAATCATACACATTGACTTCCGCCTTAAATGTCCTTGAAACGAAAAGTTTTCATCAGAAAATAAAAAAAAAAACTGACGGCATTTCGTCAGGTTAAGGGAAGCTCGGTGTGAGCAAGTCGGGAGAAGGCCAATCTGTCGCATGAAATCGAGGTCAAAATCAAGGTCGAGTTCCAATTTTGGCATCTCGGGGCCAACGTGGGAGCGACATCGGGCCACTTCCAAGGCGGCGAGTACTGCTGAGCCGAGTCGGGAGGTTGATCGGGAGCAACCGATGCCAATGAGCGCCGAAAGCTTGCATCCGGGCGCCACTGCCACGCATTGGGACCACTCAAACCGTCCTTATCCTCCGAGTACTTTTCATGCTCATTTGGCTCGGCTCGGGTAGGAAAGGCAAGTTCCGAGGCGGGCAAAAAAAGGAGAAGCCGAAGAGGCCCCGGTCCTCCCCTCCCAGGCACAAAAAGGAGACTCCCACAGTCAGCAGTGCTTTGGCTGGCTTGGCTCTCACCTCCACCACTACGGCACGGAACCACTTTCCTCATTCCAGCCAGTATTCGTCAACCTTGTCCTTCATGTTGGACCATTGTTGCACAAACAAATCCAACTTCAAAATCCATAACCCCGTCCCCCCCAAAAAAACGAACATCTGGACGAACTCCGGGAAGCTAAAATGGCCTCAGTGCGACAAAACTAGAAAAGGTGACGGCAAGTTGTTACCTCTGGCGGATAACTTTTTGGTGTTGATGATTTTGGCCGCGTGCTCCTGCCCCGTGCACAGCTTCACGCATCGACGCACCACTGAGATAGCGCCCCTGAAGACAAACAAACAAACAAACAAACCAACTCTAAAACATGATGCACTCTATTTATTGGCAAAAAGACACTATTTCCCTATTTCAGAGAAGTCAAAATTTCTCCGAAAAAAAACTGTTACGTTGGATATTCTTTTGAAAATCGAAGAGTTGAATATTTTCAATGTAAAGCAGTGGTCCCCAAACTACGGCCCGCGGGCCGGATCCGGCCCGCCTCCGCATTTGGTCCGGCCCCCTGAAAATACCACAGAGTATTTTGATTTATTTTTCATCGATGTGGATTTGTATTTGATCACAAAGTTGGGCTTTTGCAATAAAATGTTCCTTAGTTCTGAACCGTTTTCATTATTAACTATTAATTAGTAACTATTTCATAAACACAGATACAATAAGGTGACATTTGGTGCATCTTTCTGTGCCGTTATCTGGCAACGCCAGAAAAAAAAATCCGAAACCGGCCCCTCTCTCAGAGAACGGGATCATGGCGAAAAGATTCGGTAAGAGAACAATAGAATGCGGGGTATTTAAACCAAAGTGGACAAACGATGTTTTTGTTTTTGTTTCTTTCAGCGCAAAGAAACGTCTGTCAGTCTCATCTGTCAAGAGGCGGCTTCATTTTGTGTGGGTTTCTGGAAAACAATCCATTTTTACATTTCCGTACTCTTGCGGTCACCCTTTTTCTGTTCCAGAATGACCCCGGCCCCCCATCACAGAAGCGAAACCTTATGCGGCCCTCACAGGAAAAAGTTTGGGGACCGCTGATGTAAAGGAATCTAAGTGAGTAAGAGTGAAAAAAAGTCTTATACTGTCAATTCAAAAAAAAAAGTTTTATAAAAGAAAAAAAAAAGAACTTTCGATAAAAGGCATCGCATTTTCGATGATAAATCGCATATTTGTCAGGGATAAAGTGTTACACTGTCCCAAAAAGTCATATTTTCTATAAAAAGGTGATAAAAAACATCATCGATATGCTAGAGCGTGCTGGCACATCTTTTTGAGAAAGGTCAAATATTTTCCGTGAAATGATAGGATACTTTTGAGGGGCAAAATCATTTCTATGAAAATAGTCGAATGTGCGAGGTGAAAAAGATATTTGAAAATAAATTGGGACACATAGAAAGAGAAGCATCATTTCCTCGCAACTTGTGGTGAGGACTTAAACTAGGAGCAGTCGTACCACACACAGTATTTCGTGCCGCCGCACTGGTCCATTGTTGACATTTTTCCAAACTGTCATTCACTTGGCCAATCCATGTGCGCGCGCGCGCTCAGACATAAAAAAAAAAAACAACAACAACCGCGCTCACTTCGCCACACGCACGCCCAAGCCGAGACTGGCCGCGCGGCCCCGGAGCTCGGCGACCGTCGTTTCCGGCCAGCCCCCGCGCCGCGGCGGCGCGTGGGACGCGACGGTCGCCGGGCTCCGAAGGCTGTGTCCGGTTCGACTCACTTGCCAAGCTCCTCGTAGAGCTGATACTCGTCCGTGAATCTTGTACAGGTCGTCGTGGCCATGTTTCCCGCTTCTCCTTCTTCTTCCTCCGGTCAAATGTTGTCTGTCAGCCGGTGAGGGGAAGGGGGAGGGGGGAATAAACCACAACAGGTCCGCCCAGTATCAAAAAATACAAACAACCAAACAAACAAAAATCAAGTCGTCCGGCACCGGAGAAAGTGGCGAGGTCGAGGTTTGATGGGGAAACACCGAACAGAGCATTCAAGGTCTTTCTTTCTCTCTCTCTCTCTCTCTCTCCACGCCCCTTTCGGTTTGACAGCTGCTCGCTCGACCAGGCATTTTCGTCAAGACAGCCTTGCGAAACGAAGGCTCACTTCCGGTCCCGACTTACAAATATGTCAAAATAAGAGTATTTATTTTTTCCACACGTTCACTTTTTTCTTAAGTTTACATTTTTAAATGTAAATGAAAAAAGAAACGTATACTTTAAATAAACAAGGCTTACTTGTTAGTAATAATAGGAATGATTATGAGGTTTTAACCCTGGACTCACCTCTTGTTTCTCAGTGTATGCAGGATGAGCCAAAGTTGGAACTGATCTTTTTTTTTTTTGCCGCTCACATCTTTCATAGAAACGGATATTAAATGTTCATCACCGGTTTGAGGATTTTTTTAAGTGAAGAAAAGAGAGGTCAAGGGCAATGAGCTGAAATATGTGCCACCAGAAACTGATTTTCAGCCATTTATACTGTATTTGAAATTGATGAATTTCTATCATTAAACTCAGAGCCGGCCCCAAACCAAATCGAGGCCCCTAGCTAAATTGAATTTGCTGGCCCCCAAATGGCTATTTTTCATGGCCCGAAATTCTTTTGTTGACGCGGGGGGTTAGCGGTTGGATATTTGAACAACGCTGTGCAATAGCGGCGCGTGGGACGCGACGGTCGCCGGGCTCCGAAGGCTGTGTCCGGTTCGACTCACTTGCCAAGCTCCTCGTAGAGCTGATACTCGTCCGTGAATCTTGTACAGGTCGTCGTGGCCATGTTTCCCGCTTCTCCTTCTTCTTCCTCCGGTCAAATGTTGTCTGTCAGCCGGTGAGGGGAAGGGGGAGGGGGGAATAAACCACAACAGGTCCGCCCAGTATCAAAAAATACAAACAACCAAACAAACAAAAATCAAGTCGTCCGGCACCGGAGAAAGTGGCGAGGTCGAGGTTTGATGGGGAAACACCGAACAGAGCACGGAAGGTCTTTCTTTCTCTCTCTCTCTCTCTCTCTCCACGCCCCTTTCGGTTTGACAGCTGCTCGCTCGACCAGGCATTTTCGTCAAGACAGCCTTGCGAAACGAAGGCTCACTTCCGGTCCCGACTTACAAATATGTCAAAATAAGAGTATTTATTTTTTCCACACGTTCACTTTTTTCTTAAGTTTACATTTTTAAATGTAAATGAAAAAAGAAACGTATACTTTAAATAAACAAGGCTTACTTGTTAGTAATAATAGGAATGATTATGAGGTTTTAACCCTGGACTCACCTCTTGTTTCTCAGTGTATGCAGGATGAGCCAAAGTTGGAACTGATCTTTTTTTTTTTTGCCGCTCACATCTTTCATAGAAACGGATATTAAATGTTCATCACCGGTTTGAGGATTTTTTTAAGTGAAGAAAAGAGAGGTCAAGGGCAATGAGCTGAAATATGTGCCACCAGAAACTGATTTTCAGCCATTTATACTGTATTTGAAATTGATGAATTTCTATCATTAAACTCAGAGCCGGCCCCAAACCAAATCGAGGCCCCTAGCTAAATTGAATTTGCTGGCCCCCAAATGGCTATTTTTCATGGCCCGAAATTCTTTTGTTGACGCGGGGGGTTAGCGGTTGGATATTTGAACAACGCTGTGCAATAATCGCTCGGTGCCTAAATTTCTATTGTTTAATTTGAATTTGAAAAACCGAGTCTGCATTGTAGCTTTTGAACTTGTTCGTTTGGAACCGAAGAGAATTAAACTTGAAACTGCATTTAAAAGTCCGAAAGGTATTTCATTTTCTCTCCAACTGTACTTGACACTCAGTGAAAATGCAAGGAAGGTAGGCTGGGTCGAGGAAAGGAAGGAAGGGAAGACAGGAAAATCGGAGGAAATAAAAAGAACAAGACCGAAGAATGGAAGGAGGGTAACAAGGATGCGATGAATAGAAGGAAGAACAAACCGGCCACGGAGCCCTCATTTGAAACCTTCATCCATAGCAAAACCTGAACCTGGGAGTGAGGTCATGATGTGACACCCTGACTCCCTTTCATCATCCTTACCCCATTTGCACGTTACTTTGAAAGGCGATTTGCCCCATTTCCTGGCGCAGGCAGCTCTCAAGCAGCTTCTGGTTTTCAAGCCGAGAGAAATCCAAAACAAGCCACAACTCAACTCAAGTGTATTTCGAGAGCACTTTCAAACAACCACCGCCGTCTACAAAGCGCATGGAGCAAAAACAATCAATGAATAGCCATGGTCAGTAGCAAGCACAAAAACAGTCCGACAAAAATCCAGTCTCAGGCTGAGTCAAAAGCCAAGGACTAAAAATGACTTTGAAAGACGGGCAGCGCGAGGGGGCTTGCCGAACGTTCATTCCAAAGAGAGGGAGCGGCAACGCAAAAGCCTCGGTCTCCTCTGGGCCTCCGCTTAGTTTTCGGTACCTCGAATAGCGCCTGGCTGAGGCACCGGGCGGGGAGCTTCGAGGGGTCAGGTGGGGGCGAGGCCATTTCAAGATTTGGAAACAAATCACAGGATCTTCTAAAGAACTCCAAAATGATCCAGTGAAGGGAGTGATGCGCTCCCTCTTACGAGTACCGGTCCACCGGCGAGCAGCGGCATTTTGGACCCACTGGAGACGCTTCATGGAGGATAGGCTGACTCCAAAGTCAAGTGTGTTACAGTCAACCGGCCGAGATGTGACAAAGTCTCCGTGCCAACAGGTTATCTGTGAGCCATAATTACATCTCAACAATGATGGAAATCCTTTCCAGTCAGACCAGTTCTCCTCAGTCATCCCACTGTGCTTCCGACTCACACAAACTCGTGAAAGAAGAGTCAATAAATCAAGCCAAGAGTCATTAAACGTTGGCTCGTCGTGTGTGTTTGCGGGTCAGCGCAGTGCGCGCACGGAGTTGACGTGCGGGTGGTAGAGGAAGTCGGCGTAAGATGAGCCGGCGTTGGGGTTCTTGTCCTCCACCGGGCGACGCTGCAGGAGCTCCTCGCCTGCCATCGCCCACTTCGCACAGAGCAGCTGCGTTTTTTTTTTTTTTAAGATCTGATGCAATCACAAACACGGTTGCGGGTGGGCGTCAATTATTTGGGGGGGTTTCACTACTCAAGTGGAATTTTTGCAAGCTACCGACACTAAGCGGGAAAATGACAATGTGAGACAATAGCCAAGGCTTGGAACTATTTATAAAGAATTACAGCTGGAAAACCAAAGATAAGTGTGCGAAATTACTCCAGAGTCATCAGCGCTTGGGGGGCTTGGCTTGTCTTTTGAGGGCGGTGATCCGGTTCCTCACGTAGTCCTTGATGCCCTTCCAGGAGCGCGTGCTCAGGGCCCGCGGCTCGGCTTCCAGACACCGCAGACAGTCCAGCTTTTGCGGCACCTTGTGGTCTCGGATGAGGGACATCATGTGTCTCTCCACGGCGGCGACCTCGCAGTCGCTCCACTTCTGCTTGCTGGCCGGCGAACCAACTGAATTTGACAAAGGGCGAGAACAACTCAGACGGACGACTAAGCTTCGACACTTTGAAGCTTGGTCAGGACATCGGCAAAAGCGATCACACGCCGACTTTTGTACCTTTCGGCGACCGCCGGGCCGCTGCGGATTTGGTCGAGCGTGTCCCGGACAAACCGCCGACAGACTCGCTGGGCTGCCTGGCGCCTAAAAGGATCATTGAGGATGTTAGTTGGACATCCAAATATTCAATCCAACAAAGAAATCTGAAGCAAATAAAGGAAAAGCTCCACTTTTGTGTCAACGAAGCTCCTCGGCTCACTTCTAAAAATGGTTATTTGTCAGACAGATGCCATAAGTGGAAACGAGGCTCCTCGCCTGCATCTTGGCCATAGTTTCTTGGCACCATAAGATGGCGCCAAAGCACAAAAAAACGGCGAAGAAGAAGGATAGGTTACCCCACGTTTGTTTTTTTTTCTTTTTAAAAACTCATCGGTACTCATTTGGCATCAATCAGAGTCCAGTCGGACCGGTCCTCACCTCCAGGGTGGACGTCGCCCCGAATGCTCTCCGCTTGCTTGCCGGGCCCCAGGACCATCTCCCTCTCGGCGGGGTCCAGGCTGAGGAGCTGCAACATGGAGGCGTGGTGCTTGCGAACGCCGGCCGACGTCAGCGCCTCGGGCTTTCGGACCGCGCTGTCTTTGACCAACGTCTGCACGCAGACGGAGCCGCGGTAGGCGCTGAGCGCGTGCACGCGTCCGAACAGGAAGGGGTTCCGGGCGGGGACGCCGCAAGCCTCGCGGACCCGCGCCAGGAGCTCCAGCGCGGGCAGGAAAGCCGGTTTGAGCAGCACGGGGACCATGCGGCCGCAGGCCGAGCGGATCTCCATCCTGCTGAAGACTCGACACATGCTCCTCTCCAGCTCGCCCACTAACAAGTCCGAGTTCTCCCGCGGGTCGGGCTCCTTGACGGACTTCAAGGCGGAGAGCGGCAAGGAGGACACCTCGCTGCTTCGTCTCCTGTTGAACAGAACTATTCGGGCCAGAAGGGCCCTGGCCAGCGCGTCGTACGTTTCGGCGGCGGGCTCCCGCCTGAGCTTCTCCTCGGCGAGGAGGTGGACCTTCTCGGCGTGCAGGTGGAGCCTCCTCACGTCCTGGGCGTCCGGAACTTCCTCCCCGGAGCTCCTTTTGCTCTTCCGCAGAACCGACAAGGCGTCCGAGGAGATGGTCTTGGCCCACTCCTTCCTGTAGACCAGCAGGAAGTTCTTGGCCGCCTCGGCCAGGCGGAAGTCTCCGCGCTCCAGCGCCCTCTCCTGGACGACGCGGCACACCTTCTGGAGGGAGTAGCCCAGCTTGATGGCCAGCGAGGGGGCGCTGTAGGTGCGGGCGGCCGGGTCGTAGCCGGCCAGGACGTTGACGGCGGCCACCACGTGCGGGAAGCTGTCGGGGAGGAAGAAATCCTCCAGCCGCCTGAGCGGCGTGCGCTTCCAGGCCTCCAGGACCAGCCGAGCCATCTGCCGCAGGTTCTGCCGCATGTACTCCTGCCGCTTGGCGTCGGCGCCGTACTGCGCCGCCATGGCCTCGCCGTAGCCCAGCAGGACGGGCTCGCTGATGACGAGGCGCGTCACGTCGTCGTAGATCATCTGCGAGAGGACGGCGCGGAAGCCGGCGCTGATGTCCAGCTCGCCCATGGCCTCCAGGGCACAGCGGGTTTCCACGCGTTCCTTGCCCACGGGGGGCTCGCCCTCTTTCTTCCTCCTGCGCCGTTCGGGACAGCGCTTCATGTGGCAGGCCACGTTCTTCTTGATGTACAGGCCTCGGCAGTACAGGCAGTGCAGGAAGTCCTGCGCCTGGCCCGTCTCGGGGGGCCTCTTCCGCGCCGCCAGCTGCCCCTGGCCGGTCCTCAGCACGTGCTTGTTGTGCGCGTAGTTGCCCTCCTTGATGAGCTGGTTCCACAGCCGCTGCCTCTCCCGGGAGCCTTTGGGGAAGCGCAGGGCGGCGGACACTTGCGCCTTGTGGCTGTGTCTGTGCTGCAGGTGCCTGGACATCTTGATGACGGCCTTGGAGCAAAACAGGCAGTGGTTCCGCCGAGAAACGCGCTTGCGGCTCTTCTGGCCTTGTTTCATGGCGCGCACCTTGATGGGAAAGGCAGGCAAGCGCAGGTCCCTCGTAAGCCACGTGCCCAAAGAAACGACAAATGCGGAGACTGCGTTTCTCAATCACACGGGACGTGCGGCTGAAAAACGACAGGACGAGGCCGTCGGTAAGCAGCTCGATGGTCCCGCGACGACCCTCCCACATTCGATTCAGAAATTTAACTCCCCGGACGCGCTCGCGTTAGAAGGTCGTTTCTGTGACCACGCCGGGTTTTTCTTTCCTCTCCAGAGGAGTTGGATTTCAAAAAAGAAAGGCTAGCGACCGAGCGAGCGAAATGAAGCAGGGGTTTGGTTTTTTTTGCAATGTGCAAAGGATATTCTCCAACTGTATATTGCGACGTCCATTTGAATTTACTCAGCCCTAATTGGATGCGGAGGACGTATTCGTCCAGCGACCGCACGGAAGCTACTTTTGCCGAATCGTCGTCGGTTCGACTTGACGCTTCTCGAAGTCTCCTCGATTTGAAGTCATTTGAAAGCGACCCCACCTTGACGCTCTTCAAGCGGCTCCACTCCGTCTCGGCGTCCGGCGGCCGGGCGCCGAGGGACGCCGTGCCGGGCTTTTTCCTGCTGCGCAGCGACATGGCGGGGCCACGAGGGGATCCGCCCGAGGGGCGGACGGGGTCTTCTCCCACGTCCGACAGCGCGTCGGACACGTCGCTGTCGTCGCTCGGTACGAAAACGGAGCCGCGGTCTGACGAGTCGGGAGAGCGGCCGTCCTGGGGAAAGATGACAGCGTCGCAGTCAAGTACAAAGGCCCGTTGATGTGATTTGTTCATTGGTGCCTTGGGCCCGAGACCAAATGATCTTTCCCCGGTCAAAGGAATGGAAATGCCTTCACTCTGTGACTGCAACTTCAAAAGCACACAAAAAATGTGGGGCTCATGTGCTTTTCGAAAGAATAATTGCAATCTACTGCATTGCACTCCAGACAAACTGATCGGAATGACACAATTTACCCCCACCAAAAATTCAATCGGCCAATTAATCAGTTGTCGGAATTTTGTTTTGCCAAATATTGGAATCGGTCTTAAAAAACAAACAAAAAAAAAATAAAATCCATATTGGTTTCAAACCCACCAACTGTAGCTTTCATGATGAAACAGAAAAAGACCATCATAACTAAGGTGCAAGAATAGAGTCATTCTACGCAGAGGATAAACAATATATGTCGATGCAATACAAAGAGTACATGACAAAAGTTGAGGTACCCACCGTAGGTCTGCTTTTTTCGGAGACTGTTTGCATCTATTGCTTTTGCTTCAATTATTTTGTATGCTTGCAGTAAAACCGCTAACTGTCATCATTTTGTTTCTGATAATCACTCCAAACCTTTCATCTCTACGTATAAGAAATTAAAGTCACTTCCACAAAATGCACCTTTCCTGCTGTAAAGTGAATAAATCATGTTCAAATAATTATTAACACTGCAAAATTTTTCCACTTCAGTGGAGCACGACAAAGCAACGGAAATATTCGCAACCGGCGTCAGTTTGACGCAGTGCAGTCGTCCAAAAACGAACTAACACGTGCGACGTGTCAACTTACAGGGTCTGCTGGATCACACGCAGAGTCATCCGTCAAGTCGTCGTCATCGTCGTGCTCGCCACCGGATGCTGGCTTTTCGCAATGCTCGCTGTCCGAGGGCGCCGCTTGCGGTGGCGTCGGCGGCTGTGGCGGCGATGCCGGCGACGCGCCGTTTGAAGACGCGTACCACTCCGGCTGACAAAAAAAGAAAAGAAAGCGAAGCCTCGGAACGTGAGCGCGGAATCAGAACGTGCACATGCTGATGAACAACGCACCTCGATTTTGTGCGCTGCCTCGCTTTGATGCGGCGGCGACTCGCCCGTGGACATAGGTGACTGAAGAGACGCGGAGACGACACTTAGACATCATTCCACATGCCGTGCGCGTGGGCACTTGGCAATGAAATCAACGTTTACTTGCCTGGGGCGCCGAAAGGGGCGACTTCACGCAGACGTCGTCCTCCGGAGGCACCTCCATTTTGTGCACTGGCTCGCGTTGACACGGCGGCGACTCGCCCCTAGACAGCGGCGACTGAAGAGACGCGGAGACGACACTTAGTCATCATTCCACATGCCGTGCGCGTGGGGCATTTGGCAATGAAATCAACATTTATTTGCCTGCGGGGCCGAAAGGGGCGACTTCACGCAGACGTCGTCCTCCGGAGGCACCTCCATTTTGTGCACTGGCTCGCGTTGACACGGCGGCGACTCGCCCCTAGACAGCGGCGACTGAAGAGACGCGGAGACGACACTTAGTCATCATTCCACATGCCGTGCGCGTGGGGCATTTGGCAATGAAATCAACATTTATTTGCCTGCGGGGCCGAAAGGGGCGACTTCACGCAGACGTCGTCCTCCGGAGGCACCTCCATTTTGTGCACTGGCTCGCGTTGACACGGCGGCGACTCGCCCCTAGACAGCGGCGACTGAAGAGACGACACTTAAGACATCATTCCACATGCCGTGCGCGTGGGGCATTTGGCAATGAAATCAACATTTATTTGCCTGGGGGGCCGAAAGGGGCAACTTCACGCAGACGTCGTCCTCCGGAGGCAACGATTCCAGCTGGATGGGAAGAGACGACACGAGTTAGACGAATTTGCAAAGAGTCTTTCACAGCAGACCCCAATTTGGAAAAATAAATTCAAAAATGTCATTCGACTACATTACAAAATCCGATGAACTCTTCAGCCCGACGCCACACAGGCACGCGCGACACTCACCAGTTTCTCCAACTCTGCCAGCTGCTTGAGTAAGAGAGACCGCTGATGTAAAACCATGGCGCGTGTTGTCAGCCCCTTAAAAGGAGAAGAAAAAAAAAAAGAGAAGCAACTTTGATGAATTTGTCGTCCAAGCAACACGGGCCGAAATCCGAGAGCTGCTATGACGGTAAAGGGCGGCCATTTTCCTCACCGCTGTTGGAAGGGCAGCATTGTTGTAGGCGTGAGCAGACTCATTGGAGGCTGCAGGGGACAAAATGGATTTAGCAGTTTGACATCCACCCTTTTTGACAGCAACTGCTCCATAATTACGTCGTGACTTGAGCACAACAAACCCCCCGAAATCATGAATAATTCATTGAAGATGCAATTTTTAAAACTTCATTTCTTTGAAGATGCGAAACGCCAAAATTCACAAACAGTGTTTAATCCATGAATGGACTAATAAGGAGAACCACACAAAGTGTCACATTACCGCGGCACTGCGTCGGGTCTATCCACTGAGATGCCACAGGGGGCGCCGATGAGGTTTGGCTGTGAGTGGCAGACACTTGGTTGATGCTCGGAAAAGAGCCCGGAGATGAGGGAGACTGAAATGAGGGCTGCGTAGAGGCGGGTGGCGGCGCGTGGGCTTGATGGGCAGCCTGCGGCGGTCCCAGCTTTTCTCGGGCACCCGTCGGCTGCGGCGGGTCAAAGG